ATATTCGAGGAACCTGTTCAGACAAGTGTTTAGGTTGTTGCCTGTATTTGTACCTCATCAGGTCATTGTTTAGCTCATCCTTTCTGATTGGGTAACAGTTTTAATAGAGAAATTGCTGGAAAGCTAAGCTGTAGTGTCAGTTAAGGGTGAACTAATCTTGTGCAAGTCAGCCCATGCACCACCTTCTCCTTTCCGTGCTTATAGGTGGGTCAGAATGACAAACATGATAGCCGCAGGGTTGATAGTGCTTGTTAAACTTTTTTTTAATTATTCTTTGCCTAAACAGTAAAATGTGGATTACTCTGAGTAATGTTTAACACATTATGACACATGAAACCCATCTGTCCGGTCTAACCTCTCTGCAGCGTGGGCTTTGTTTTGTTTGAACCTGCAGTTATCTGTGCATCGTAGGGCTTCTTGTACCAGGAAGTTTTTTTATGCACAGACCCAAGATTGCAGCTCAACCACAACCTAAATAACTAACTAGTTTAGTAGTGAGTGATATTACCATCTATTAAGTGTCTTTAAAATAGAAGACAGGTGATTGTAACCTTTGAACTTTAGGATAGTAGATAGAAGCTGAAGTTGAGATTGAAAGTGGTTACATAAACCGCTGCATGTTTCTCATTTCTTTGCTTTGAAGTTACCTCAGGATAAAAAAAGAACATTTAAAGAAGCAAATCAAGTTTTTCAAAAGGAAGAGACAGAAAAAACAAGAAGGACTAGACGTGTGAGTAGTTTGATGTCAAACAAATGGAGGGATAAAGCAACACTTGTGTATGTTTTAGATGTATAGTGATACACCGACTGGCTAATATCAGCTCTTTTTTTCCGCTTATACATGCACATATTGACCAATTGTGACCTGATACCATATCAGCTTGAATCATACATATTTTCATTACTCATTTTGTAATGAATCATAGAAAAATACAGAAGTCAACAGCAGTAGGTATGAAAACAACCGACCCATTTATCATTAACCAGTTGGTTACTTAAACTTCAAACAGAAGCAAAGTGTTTCTATCAGTTTGCTGATCTTGTATGTTTAGATGTTGGCTGATTTAATCCAATTATTAGATTTTTGGCAAATATCGGACTAATATTGATATCACATTGAGATCTGTAAATTGTACCATTCAAAAGAGGGATGCAAAAAGAATATATTGGCTTTAAGAATAGTCATATCACGGATCGCTTAGACTGTCAACAGATCGGCTGCCTTAAAACATCCGTATCTGAATTTTTTTTCCACTGAAATGTGCAAAAGAAATAAACTTTCCTCACTTAAAAAAAGAAAGAAATTAACAAAGTGCTTTAGATAAGAAGAAAAAAAGCACAGGGCGGGAGCATAGATATAAAGAAAATATCGAAAATGTTAAAAAGATTAAATGATTGATAATATGGAAGGAAAGGTAAATTGGAAACTGTACTAATAATGTTTAAACTGACACGCCATCCATGCCCTGACCTGTGTGCACCTTGCCTCTATGCCCAAGAATTACAGATAGCTCCCCTTTATCAGACCGGCTCCAAGATATGCCCATATCCTGTGTATTTCTAAAGGCTGTCCTGATTAGATGACCTCTGTACACACAGTGAAATCCACAATGTGAAGGAAGGCCTTCTATTTTGTCTAATCTGGCTAACAGAATAACAATGCACATTATGTATAAAGTATAAACCTAACAAGAGTCAGAAGACTTTAGGAACCTGGGCGGTTAATCCACTGACAGCAAGTCTGTAATGTATTTTATAGTTAAGCCATTCTGTGCTTTTTAGACTAATAGTAGTATTTTAAAGGTATATTCTCTGAGATAAGGTGGAGCCACTGTAACGATTTTAGCACTAAAGTGATGTGCTCCACTTTGTTAGTTGTAGTGAGGATGCATGCAGCAGCATGCTGGATCAGCTGCAGCTGTCTGATCCACTTTTAAGGGAGACCTGTTAAGATAAACAATTGTACTAAAGATGAGCGCATGAATGAGCTTTACATGGTCCTGCTCAGTATTTTAATCCTGGAGATGTTCTTTAGGTGACCAACTTTATTCCCATCTCTATGAGCCTCTGAGGGTTCAGGACTGAGTCCATCACTACATCCAGAGTTTGGGCCTGATTGGTTGTTTCTAGCTGGATTAACTGAAACTGTGTACTAACTTTTGGTCCAAAAACTGTCGCTTCATTTTTGCCTTGATTTGGCAGAAGAAAATTTTGGTATATCAATGCGTTTATTTCTTCTTTGTTTTTTCCCAGCATTTAAATTTGACCAACAAAGATTTGACTTCCCTCCTCAGTAATCATTCTTCTGGCTGTTCTGTGAGGGAGTCCAGGTTTGCAGCTCAAGGAGCGTCACAAACATCACACAAAATGTTTACTAACACTTCAAATACTAGATGGTTTTTATTAAGACAACAAAATAATTGATTAATGATAGCTAAACATCCAAGATATCTTTAAGTTCTCCAAAAATACACAAAAAAACGTGTTCAAATGCGAAACTGAAGTTAAATCCAGCAGGATTTGGGTTTACGAGTCACATTAAATTAACTGGAGTCACGTAAAGACAGAAGGAGTTTAAAAAGAGGAGCGTGATTAGAATGTATCAGATGTTAAAATGGAGACATGAAACAAACTCTTTCCTTTGTCTCTAAACGGTTAAACATATTATCAGCGGGGGGGGGGATGATCCAGTTTTACAGTCAAACATGTCTTAAATTGATGTGATTCCAGAGTCCTGCAAAAGGGAAGGAAAAACCTCCGTGCTCTGTAAGGTTTTCAGTAAACCATGCAGAATTATTTTGCATTTTTTAGAGACAAGATTAGGCAAATCGTTGATTGAGCACGCCTTCAAGCATTTGTCTAAGTTTGATGCAAGCTCAGGCAGTAGAAGGGCCTGACAATAATTTGATTGTTAAATCCGGCTCTGCTTTAAACTGGGGCTTTTTTTAAAAGATGGATGACGTTACATTTTATTGATGAATTAATCATCAAATGATTTATGGGTTTTATTTTAAACCAGATAAATAGAATCTTGTGAATTTAAATTGTTTAAATGCGTTTTATTTTATACATTTTTCTTTCTCTGCTCTGTTCAAAGAGCTGTTTGTTTACACAAATAGGGGAAACTGACATTTTACTTTAAAGGTGAGCGTCTGGTTCAACGCTCTCTCTTTGAGGAAATTTCCCAGAGGAGTTTATTCATTTGAATCCCTGAAACAATGTTACCTGCTAAAGAAATCAGTTCACACAGCCTACAATGATGTTTAGTAAAGTTATTATATCATCCATATACCAAATGGGATTTGTATTATTTGAATAACTCTAAATGAAAGCATTTATAAACGCAGTTAGAACAAATAATCATTGTTATAAAATGTTCTCCGTAAATAAGACTTCTGCCACTGAAGCCTTTAAGCAAACTTTTTAGTGAAGCTTCACCGATGAACAGCTTCGCAGGTTTTCTGGAGGGACGACTGCCAATTTTCCTACATCTTCAATAAATCTTACATTAGAAGGAATCCACAAGGCAACAGTCTAAACAGGAAGGATGCTTCTAGAGCTGAAAAACACAGCATTTTATTATTTTTGTTTAAACAGACTTTCTTTTTTGGTGTGTAGTTTTATAAATGGACCAGGATACAGAATATTAAAATACAGACTCTCTTTTGAATACTCTATTTTGGCAGAGAGCTAGCAGCAGTTTTTTTTTTTTTTTTTTTTTTTTTTTTTTTAATAAATCCTGTCTTTGTAGCTTTATATCTTATTTTGTAATGTTGCAAGTAGGGCTAAGCAATTTTGCCAAAAATCAAAATTAAGATTATTTTCAACCAATATTGCGATTGCGATTTTTATTGCAATTTTCCTTAGCACTAACCACAAGCTCTTCGATGTTTTACTCCTGGGTTTGAGTTTTATTATGACATTTGAAAGCCTGCTTGTCCTGTGCTGCAAGAATTTACTGTAAGATTTGCATGAACAGGTTCTTACTTCTATAATTTATAGATCTGTAGCCTCGTGAGACCATCCTGATCTCGCGAGCTTTCAAGGTTTCACTCGCTAATCAGTCTGGAGACTCTCCGTTTAAGAAAATTTGGAGCCGTTCACCAAACGAACGTCCAATCAGCGTTGGCTTTGAGGCGGGTTGAGGTGTGACGCAACAAGAAGCGTGACCGTTTAGTCTAAAGAACATGGCAGCTTCAGCCGATGAAACTAGCGTTAGCGTGGCTATCGAGCAAGTTTTATGGGAATTACAGAGTATTTCTTCACTGAAAGAAGAGCAAAACACTGCTCTGGAGGCTTTTCTCAGAGGAAAAGATGTTTTTGCTCTTCTCCCGACTGGTTTCAGCAAGAGTAGCCTGGCTTGTGGTTGTGTTTTCGTCGTCGCTCTGTTAGTACGTCATATGATTCATTGATCTGATTGGTTTATTTGGCCCGTCTATCACCAACATAGGCCAATCAGCTAACCATTATTTCCGCCCCTTCCCAAAATTACTTCAACGGAAGGTTTCCAGATGGATATGCGGAGCAAATCCATCTGGCAGAGTCAGGTTAATAGATCTGAGCGCTAGCTACAGCTCTTTCTTCCCTTTAAACGTATTACCGTTACCAAAGGGCTGAAGGCAGACATTTACTGTCTTGCTCTTGTCAAATGAATTGTGACTTAAACTCAGCGCCTTTGATTTGAAAATATATTTATTTATTGTTTTTGCGATTAAATTGCAATTTAAGATGCAATTGTTACCTGGGCCCTAGCTGCAGGATGTTCCCACTAAGACCAGAGCTTTGAATGTCCAGCAGCACATTTTCATACCTTCTAAATGTTTGTTGGCAGCTTCTGTCTTCAAATCAACTATTTATTGTTATTCACTTTTCATCTTTTTATTCAAAGCACAACTTCTTTTTTTCCTCTAAATGTGAAGGTTGAGTCATGACGCAGGTATTGAAATATTTGCATGTTGTAGGAGCAGTGACTGACTTTCCATCTCTGCTCTCTGTCCCAGATTTATAGCCAGTGCCTGCGCCCGAGCTCTCCACATTCAGGCAGGTGCTGGAAGGAGAGCCCAGCCCAACGCGGTGCTGGAGAAGGTGTTCACCTCCATCACCAAGGTTGGTTTCTGATTTCAAAAGAAAAGGCTGCTGCAGTGCAATGACTTGTCAGATAGATGCTGGGGACTTGTAGCTCTTCAGTGTTCAGTCAAACTATGTTAAAGAATAGAGACAGAGATTCACTTTCCTTTTATTCTAGTTAGCTCATGCTTGTATTATTGGATTGATTGATGTGAGGGGGTTTCTTGTCTGGTTTCTTAAATGATTTTCTGCAGCGAGGTGTTCTAATTGTTTAAAGAAACTTTTAATGATGAAAAATGGACAACAAAGATAACATTTAATTCCTAAAGCAACAGTTAGATTAGCTGTTGTACCACTGTTTTGTTGTTTACCTTGAAGGGGACCTTTATTTAAACATGAGTATGTCCACTTTAATCTCTGTTACTTTAAGAAGCAATCCAAGCGCAAAAACCCCCCAAGGCCATCCATCCCTTTACATACAAAATATAATCCATCCATCCATTTTCTGTCATGCTTATCCCAAGCGGGGTCATGAGGGGTGCTGGTGCCTATCTCCAGATGTCTACGGGTGAGAGGTGGGATACACCCTGGAGAGGTTGCCTGTCCATCACGGGGCAACACAGAGACAAACAACCTTTCATGCACACACCCTATTTAGAGAAGCTAATTACCTATCAGTCATGTTTTTGGACTGTGGGAGGAAGCCGGTGTACCCGGAAAGAACCCATGCATGCTCAGGGAGAACATGCAAACTCAATGCAGAAAGAGCCAGGCCCGGAATCAAACCCAGATCTTCTTGCTGCAAGGCAGCAGTTCTACCCACTGCCCCACTGAGCAGCCGTAAAAAAAAAAACACCTTACTAATATATCACATCTTATTTGACGTTGTAATTATTGGAATAAATCGCATCAGAACTTAACTTTGGTATTAATATGTAGTGAAAATGTGCTTCAACTCCCCCTCATGGTGCGTTCAGCCCCGCATGTGACTCCAGCAATCAGAGCGATGGATTTACATGTCATCCTTAGATAGAGGCATCAGTACAAAGCAATGCGACGGTGCATTTGGTTTAGGTTGAAGGAGTGCAGCAGAAAAGCAGCACCTGTAGTCGGTGTCCCACAGGCTGGTTCATCCCCCAGCGTGGGACAGCAGGTCTTCAAACCGGGGCTTTGATGGATAGAATTACAGCTGAAAGCAACCATTTAGATGCAGCTCCAGGAGCTCCTCTCCTCTGGAGAATCCGGTGAACCAAGGAACATTGTCGTCCCCTGATTTGTTCAGCTTTCCATAATTAATATAGCACAGTGTCTGATAAAAGCAGGTCTGTCATGTTCAGGTGAATCCTGCAAGCAGCAGACGGTGACTCTTCAATTTCCATGTCAAAGTGAAGCGACGGTAGTGGAGCTTGTTGCCCACCATGCTAATTGCTAGGGGTGTAAATCACATCCATCATGGCGATTTGATTCAGTATCTATTTCCTGACCCAACGATTCAATTATTTTCGATACTCAAGAATACACCACCTATTTTTTTTTTTTTTTTTTACGCCTTACAGGCTAAACAAAGTTTCAAGTTTGAAATAAATCAATGAAAGCTGTAATATCGTTATGCATTTTTTATTTATTTTTTTTTGAAACAACAGCAAATAACAGAAGTAGAAAAGTTGCATCAAAAAATACTGCACATAATCAGTGCAATGAGTGCAATTCAATACCTCGGCTCCAGAAGTCCCGCCCCCTCCACAGATGCTCCGCTGCACCTCTCCCAAATTGTAGCTGACCGCAGACAGGAGGCCGGCTTGGTTTGTTTTTATGACCGAAATTGCGGAAAACAACTCGTGAAGTTTGACCCGCTAGAAGAGCGAGGTGCGCGAGAACGCTGGGACCCTTTTTCCACCTGGATCTCCGCCCTTTTTGGCCCTCATGTCCCTCCGTTGTCTAAACTAAACTAAACTCGCCCCCACTTATTCACCGCCTCGGCCATATCTAGACCCACAGTGTGTAGCTCAGACCACGCTTCAATATTGAGCATAATTTAAAAATGTCTGCATCAAGCTTACTGCAACACACTGCTGTAAGAGTATAACCAGGAAGCGAGGTAGGAGGGCAAAATAGGTTTAGCGCCACCGCAGCACGGGAGGAAAAAGTAACGCCCAGGAGCAAATGGATAAAAATAGACCGAAGGGAAAAAAAACATGAATCGATACTCTTATGGACATGTTGATTCATCGGCTCGTCGGCTGTTGGATCGATGCATCGATACAAAACGATTATTATTTACACCCCTACTAATTGCTCATGATGCGTAAAGCGAGCGACAGCACCTGAATGTAGCGACTTAGGTGGAAACCCACGGTTACAGCTGATAAGACGCAGACAACTGTTAGCTTGATGCTAAATTAAACAGAAAATCACATAGAGATGCTAGCGCTATTAACACCTTATTTTTATTTTCTTTTGTCAGATTCTTCTTACCTAAAATAACCAAAACACCTCCTACTGGTGTTTTAAACAAACCAACAGGTTATAAAACATAAAACCCAGATATTCTTTAGCACATTAGAATATAAAACAGACCAGTTTACTGCAGCCTGGTAGGGATGGGCTGCTTGCTTTCTGTCAGTCACCAGCATTTTTGCAGGTTGGACTGGAAGCTCCACATTAAAGATGCATTCTGGTACCAATGAACTTCTGTTTGCAGCCATTTTTATGCCTATGAAGCGCAGGTGTAAACATTTAGTTTGGGGGGGTGTCTAGCTACAGTTATTTGCTGAAAAGTGAAGGAAGCCTCAACAGCTCAATCTGAAAGAATCTCTGTAATAAACTGGAGGTGAAATCTCATCTGAGAATGATTTCTTTCCAAATGAATATAATAAACATTTTTATGTAAAGCCTGTAGAAATGTGCTAACTTGTTTAAAATAAAGCATAATATGATATTAAAAACAGTTTAATGTATACTTAGCTGCTGATGGATGACATTAGATTAAATCATTACAGAAGATATAGATAGAGCATCTTTTTCAGGGGATTTACACTTTTAATCGTTTTTTTTGTCTGAATTTTTGAATCTTAGCATATGATCTGTTGGGCTGCATAAGCAGCATTGCTCCCATTTGTGCTTCACAAACATTTCCCTCCTAAATTTTTGTTCAGGTTTTCATATTCTTATGCCGGTTTCTGCCCAAATCTTAAAAATCTTCTCAGATTTTGCCTTGAATGTATATATTGCTGCATATAATAGAGCTATAAAGTATATTCATTATTATTTCCCTAATTGTGTGCATGTGATTGAAAATATTTCCACTGTTACACAATGTTCCCCTTTAAAAGACTAGTAAAGGAGATTAGGTCCTAGATTTAGGAGTTTATGATCCAAAGCAATGTCTCTGCATTGTCCTTTCTTTGTTTGGGTCCAGCTCCTCATTTCAGACTAATTTAGTTGTTTTTTTTTTCTTCACCCTCTGGTGACAGAATCCAGACTCTCGCCATCTGGATGGCCTGTCGAAGCAGCTGGACTGGGAGGTGCGAAAAGTCCAGCGTTGGTTCAGGCACCGCAGGAATCAAGACAAACCCAGCACACACACAAAGTTCTGCGAGAGCATGTAGGTTTAAAGCTCCTGTGGTCTCAGGCTTGACCAAAGTTAGAAAAAAAAATCCTGGTTAAATGGTTGGATTTAATTATTATGTGAATGTTTAGTGCGATATTTTGTCAAATGTGTTTTAATTCTGTTTTATTGTCTTCTAGGTGGAGATTTTCATTTTATTTGGGGATATTTATTTACGGGATCCAGTTTCTGTGGCAGGTAGCTCACCAGCAGAGAATATGACTGCTTTGGATGTCATTATGAATCCAGATGGCAGCTTTACAGACTTTTCTCTGCTAATGGGCCTGTTTTGTTTTCTGCTTTCAGACGCCTTGGATGTGGGACACACGACATTGTTGGTACGGTTACCCCTATCAGGTACGATGAGGCTCTCCTTTCTTTGGTCATGTCTCTGGTGCATATTGAATATATTTAAGGGCCAAAACAACAGTGACCAGAGGCTCAGTGGCTTAGTTGCTGTTTACCGATATAAAGATGGGTCAGCCTCTTCTGGTGTCTACACAACACAGGAGGAGATAACAGGCCACATTACCACTGATATGCAGCAGAGTTCTGGTGGATGTCTCGTAGCCATAGTGGGTAGATTAGTATAAAAAGGACAGTGTTTATAAATTAATGTAGTTTGCGCTAAATAAATAAAGGAGAAAAACGTGATCAATTACATATCTTAGACCTCCAGGAGTCACTCTTTAAAAACCATCTAGAATTAAGTTGAAAAATTCTTAAATTAAATGTATTTACCCTTAATTTTAGCAGATAAATAAGATGATTTGCCAATGGAACTAGTATTTTTACTCCTAAAACAAGATAACTAGATAATATGCACTCGAAATAAGACAAAGCAATTGTTTTTTTCTTATTTTAAATGTAAATCGTCTTGTTCCATTGGCAAATTATCTCAATTACCTCCTCAATTCAAGAAAAATGCACTTAATTTAAGCAAAAATGACTCATTTAGATTTCCATTTTGCAGGACATTGTTAGTGTTTTGGCAAACTTAACTGTCTGCAGCCAGAAAAGTAGCCACTATTTACTTTTTCTTCTCCCATATCATGCAGCTCAACAACCAAACAGCAGCCTGGTATCTGTTTACCTTTACTCCACGGCTTCTTCTCCAACACATACCACCGTGTCATAAAATGCAGCCAGACAATAAAGAGCAAACATGCTGCTGCTGTTTCCTCTTTGCTGAGATTCAAGCCGCTCGTTTGCAAATCAGTTTTGTAGGAAAGAAATGGCCGGATCCTCCTTTAACACCAGAAAGCTGTGTTTTCTGTCTTTGTGCTAAATCATTCTAATCACCGTTTGTGACTGAACGTTGTTTGCTGCTTATCGCTCAAAGTGGCCTTTAGGTTTGGGCTTTATGGCGATGTAAACAACTAGAAGCTTAAAATAAAGTAATGGTGCTTCAGCGTCTCCTTGGAACATCTGTGGATGTGTTATGGCCAACTTGGGACCAGATGAATTATTTATTTTGTTTGTTTTTCTAAAGAGCTGTTGGTTAGTTTTTAATGGCAGGAGCTGCAGCTGGAGTAAACCTGATTTTAATCTGTTTAGATGTGATTTTGTAGGATTGTGAAGAGGGAGGAATCAGATTTGTCATAAATCTCTAAAGGTTATAAATCATGGGAGGTGATGAAACAATGCCTCAAACGCTACAGTTTTTATTTTAGGGCTGGGCGAAATGATCAAAATATCACAATAAATTGGGCAGTTTTACCTCGATAACGATAAATGCACAATAAATTCTCCAGCTCATCTATCAGGAATAAAAGCATGTGCAGGAAATGAAACTGATCTATTTATAATTGATTTATTGAATAAGTCCCATTACATATTACTTTCCTATTCAGGTTTCAACATTCAATAATGTCTCATTGAACAGGAGAAAAATGTTTCCTCTCTTGCAAACGTTTTTGCGCAAAGGTAATGGAGCTTTTTGCACATCTTTGAACTCAGCAGTGGAGATTGGATGCGTTACTTTGGGTAGTCCCCACAGTTTTTAGTCAATCTTTGGATTTCGTGTTCTTTTGCTAAACATTTATGGCGTTATTTTGGTGCCACCGAACTGAGTGTGCAGTGATATCAGAGTGCGTCATTTAAACTCGCACACCTTCACTAAAAACCTGTCCGCTGCACGCTCAACTCTGACAACACGCTCTCGACTGCTTCTCTGCACGCTTAGCTTCATCTCTGCTCTCGCTCGGCTCCACAGGATTAACTGATGTGATTTCATTTGGACCTCTGTTAGACACTTCTTCGCTTTGCTCATCCGCCAGTCTCTTTGTTTACATTCTGACTGGATCGTTGGAGTCATGTGATTACAAACACACACTGCAGTGTCTTTAAAGAGAGGAAAATATCAGCAACCAACAGGAAAATTGACAGAATTAAGTTGATTTCTTTTACCGACAAGGGAAAATTGTCACTGGTTATCGTAGTGAATGACGGAATGAAAATGTTGTCTAACGATAAACTGTTCCGTGTTGCAAAAAAGGCTGGGGGCCATTGCTCTAGGTAAAATAAGTTCTTACTTTATAGATGTTTCCTAAACCTTTATTAGATTCTTCCTCAATAATAAAGGTGAACTGATTGTAGTTTGTTTCGGCTGCTCTTCGATCACTTCTCTAATCTCTGCTCTGTTTCTCCTCAGGTCATGACTCCGGGTCTTTATCACTACTATATAACCGAGCTGGCCTTCTACTGGTCGCTTATGTTTTCCCAGTTCACGGACATAAAAAGGAAGGTGAGCGTAACACAGGTTCAGTGTCTGTTAGGTTCCTCTGCAGGGGCCACTCCTTTAAACACTAGTCGGTACCTCCATTGTTCCTTGTTTAGCTGTGGCAGAGAATCCATGAAAAGGCTGAGAATGAAGCAGCGTTTCTCAGCTCTATATGCAAACATGCAGGCTAGTGACAGACTTCAAAGTGCGTTTTAACTTTCTCTGTTAGGACTAACTGGAGTTTGGTTGTCACGTGTTTTATTTGTTGCTTTTCCTCCAAAGAGGCGTGGTGCAGCTGATACTGCTCAGTCTGTGAATGCATTGTATTTTCAGCATGAGAGCCCCCACCGTCATGTGACTGCAGGATGGAGCAGGCCTGACTCTGCTAGAATTGCAGGAATTCCTCAGAAGGCCTTTGCTAATGTTGGAAACAGCCAGAGATCCTTAGATGTTTCCCAAAGCAGATGCTTGGGGTGTGATGGTTAACTTTTTATTTATTTTTATTCTGGTCTTACTTGCTGTTTGTTACTAGATGCTCAGAGAAAGAAGCAACGACATGTGTGGAGGAGGTTTTTATTACATTTTTGATAGGCCCTCTTCCTTTGGTATGGTGAGAAGTACTTAAAGGACTTTTTCACCCCTTGTTTAAACTTTGCTTTAAATCATCAGGGTTCCCGCAGGTCCTTAAAAAGTCTTAAAAGGCATTGAATTCTTCAAAATAAAACTACGGCCTTAATTGGTATTAAAATGTCTGAAATCAGTCTTTCGTAGGTCTTATTTTGTAAAACATCATAAATAGGATTATTTTTATTACTATTTATTTTTGTAATCTAAATAAAACATTAAAATTGACCTTTTTTTTATAAAAAAAA